CAAATTTGACTCAAACAGACCCGTCATGCAATCACTAAAAATACTCATCCCACAAACCATAACAATTATGACCGTCACGTCAAACCCCCGATATGCAGCTGAAGATCTAATCGAAGAAATACGAACGATGACACAGAATGGATTCAGCCCACGTAAATGCATCGGAATAATCGAAAGCGTTCTCAACAACACCAACACCTACCAACCATTCACTTGCGACCCCCAGACAACCATGAAACACACCAGAGAACTATTCCGTGTGTCTTGTGTGTAAATTATTATTCATAAAATAATAATCTGGTACAGATGGCGGCCCCCCGGAAGGGGCATGGTCGTCATTCGTACACCTGCCCCCTCCGGCCCGCCATCACGTGGGAAAGAGGGAGGGACACACACACACACACAAACAAACACACACACACGCGCACACACACACACACACACACACATACACACACACACGCACACACACACACACACACACACACACACACACACACACACACACACACACGCACACACACACCTACTAGTTAAATATAACCCCCCTTCTCTATACAGTATATACATCCCACCATCAGCTCTCAACATCCCAAATAAACAGCCACATCACATATACCCACATAGAACTTCTCTAACAGTAATAATGCAAAATCCAGCATAGAGGATAACACTACAACCCCGTGTAATCCACCCTTAGCCCCCTATATGTTTTTTAAAAAATCACCACCCCCCCACAAAAAACAACTGATCCCGGAAACTCAATTACCTAAGAACTTTTTCACTACTGCAAAAGAATAACACGCGCTGTCCGAGACTGAACCAGATAAAACAAAAAAGGAAGCAGATACGATAAAGACTACGAAACATCAACTTGCCCGCACGACAAGGGCGGCCACGCCCCACTGTGCACGGAAAATCGGCAGAGAACCAAATACGTGCCCCCAAAAAAACGAGTTAGAAAATACAGATCAGAAAAAACATTACCCCCACAAACAAGCAAACCCCGACAACCCCTACAAAACATATCAGACTTACTGACACAAAGCACCAATACAGCAGACTCTTGGTCCGCCAAGAATCCCTTCCTACAGTATAACCCCCTCCAAAAAAAAGCCCCCTACCTTATTGGATAACAGAACACGCCCACGAACTGAAACCTCCCGCCCTACGCACTACTCCCCGCGCCTCCGACTCTCAGAATGCCTATTTTAGGAACTCCTGACACCCATTAAGCGCCCTCTCGCTATCAGTAATCCTGGCGCCGGACTTGCGCAATCTGCACAACTCCGACGCGACTTGCCTCCGCAATAGCATCTGCGGACCGGCGGAGCCCACCCGGTATTGTTGCTTCAGACACCTGGTGATAGCAGATCCTGGGCACACAACGTGACCAGAATCCATCTCGGGCCTGACATCGCACTACATCTACACGCGCGCAAGATTGCTCCTTTGGAGATGGCAGCGATGGCCCCAGCTAATGACGAACACATTACTGATGCGGAGATCAATGCACACACGGTAACTATGATACAATCCTACTCTCCCCCTACCTGCTCCTTTCTATTGCGACCCCCCTATATATCCTACGACTTGCCCTATACCTCATACTATATGCCCAACGCACACATAATCCCCCTCCACATAACACCTCCCGACCATTACCCGCAATTTCTATACCCCACACACATCCAGCTCGTCCACCCAAACTCACTGCTCGGGACGCCCTACTCCTCTGGCGATTGGGCCCGTGGATGTAGGATGCCACCCATTCCTGCAGTATACTCTCATCTTGTCTTTCCCTCTGATGAGCCGTTCGGCGCAAACGGCGAAAAGCGCTTTAGGGACGCGCCACCCTCCTTCCTCGAATCTGGAAATTGGTCCTGTCGAAGAAGGTTCTCCTCCTCTTTTCTTACTGTCCCCCTTCCCTACTCCTCCTTCCCCTCCCCCCCTCTCTCTTTCTCGCTCCCCCCCTGTGAACAGCAAATGGCTTGGTGATAATTGGAGAATGTGAGCAATGGCTGTAGGTGTAYGATGGTGACCGATATGATTAAATAGCATGATACTGTGCTTTCTTTGTGACATTGCATGCTATGTGTTTCTATACTGTTCCTGGCTTGGCCAGGTTGTGCAATTGCTTTGCAATTTATCTCATTAAACACAC